AAGCAAGCCAGGCGTGGTGCTGCATGCTCATAGTCCCAGCACTTGTGAGGCCAAGGCAGGAGTATCACCACCAGGTCCAGGATTACATACGGAGTTCGAGGTCAGCCCGAACTTCATAAGGAGACTGTATCTGAAAACAAAAATAAACAAATAATGACAACAACAAAATACAAGCAGAAGGAGCACTCATACCAAGCCATAAAAAATATTAGCAAAAAGGAAAACTTAGGCCAGTGTCTCTTATTAGCAAAAATGTATGAATCCACAACAAAAATACTGAAAATGTTAAGTAAAGTCATTTATAAAAATAATGTTACATCAAACAGTATGATTTATTCCAGGTGGACAGAGCTGTTTCAGTACTTGAAAATCCATTAATGTTATTCATCACCTTAGTAAACTGTAATGTGCAGATGGACCACTTCTGTAGGAGACAAACATCAACATATATTTTTGTCAGCTTAACCTAAAAATCCCTAGCATTTTGGGTAGGATGTATGTACTGAGAGTAATGTCTGCTGTTTTAAGAGACCCATGGGTCCACAGAGGGTGTCCTGGCTTTCATGATGGCCAGGAGAAGATAATTCCCAAAAACAGAAATGTAGTACATGCACAGAAAGGAATCCCGACTATACAACTGCACAGACTTCAAACCAGGCTCTCAAACCACGTCAACACATGAACTCAAAGACTGCGCCACTGACCTTGAGCATGTTGGCTGAGCACTCCCAGCTTATGCTTCTGACTTAGATTGACAGTGTTTATTGAGCATGTTTCTCTTGTTTGCTGTCCCCCTAGATTTATACACAGATTGAATGTGGTTTTGCATATACCATTTTTCAGACATACTCTTCTACTGATGAGAGACAGTTAAGAAGGTCCAGTAATGCATAGGCATACAAAGGCTTTTAAAATGGGATTTATCTTACATTTCAGATCTCTTCTCTCTCTCTCTGCCCTCTCCACCTCTCCCTCCCTGTACTCTGAGTCTGAGTCTAGAACTCTATGTCTTTATCTCACATGTATAAACAGATAAATCCATATTTTCTATAAGCTTAAACAACATCATTCTAGAGAAACACGTATGTAGAGTGAATGAGTGGAAAAATCTTGGGCTGTGTATAATCAGTTAAAGTTATTCCATTAACTTTTTGTGATAATTAATAGATATATTGACTACACTTATTTCAGGGTCCTTACCCAGAAGTTTTAGGTCATTCACTCAAGACATCAGGCAGACATCTATTGAAAAAAACACTGTTTTCACTTTTTTAAAGGTATTTTAAGTATTGAGTAAAAATACTTTTCTTGGAATTATCCTTTTAATAAAACTTTGTACATATCATGTGCATGTGTATTGTATGGGTGTTTGTGTATTTGTAGTCCAAATACATCTCCTCCTCACTTTATTTTTCCTTTAAGTACATTTTCTTATACAGGTCAACACTGATGTTAGCATATATTCTTCTCTTGTCCCTCAATTTCCTTCATTCTATTATGGTAGTTGTTGCATATGTACCAAGTTTTATATGAGTTTATGATTCCAATTTAAATAATATTTATAATATCATCTTTAGACAATATTATATTTCTAAGAAGTTACTTTTTCTCTGATATATTGAAAATGATACATCACTATACAGAATTTAGATGAAATCAAGATCCATTCATTGGGTGCTTTTTGTAGAGGAGAGACACAACTTTCAAAACTTAACTGTAGCACAAAATGAGGTTTCTCACACCTTATTCTCTTACTTTACATTTTGACAGCAGACTATTTACCCCTGGGATTAGACTACCACACAACGATATCTCCTGGCTCCAAACTAATGATATAGTTGCCTCCAAATACTCATAAAAAATATCAGTTTTACTGCTTGAACATTTGTAGAATCCAGTCTTGGTCATCTCGCTGTCAGCTCAATTCTTTTCCTAGAGCTACAGGGCTAGAGTTAGGTATAGTAGGCTTTAAACACAAATTGGCTGTTCACTTACTGATTTCTAACAGAGACATGATACATACTGCCTTAAGACAGTGTCAGTGGTTCATGATGAATATACAAAAATTAGTTTTCTCCAAGATTACAGATTCTGTCTGAGGATAAATTGATGAAAATCCCTGATTCTGTGACAATCTTTCCTTCTTTCTGTCACACATCACACACAGATATGCACCACTGCAAAAACTTAACATCCTCTGCCTAAACTAACTGCTCTTCTAAAAACATTAAAAAGAAAAAAGAGGAAGAAAGGGAAAAATATTTAAGGCTAGATTTTTCACTAAATGTTAGAATGAAATTTAAAATATCTAAGTTTGCTGCAGGTATATACAGAGGCTTTGAGAGGGATATACATATAACACTTGCCCAAGTTTAAGTCTTAATCAGAGAAAGTTATACTTCCCTTTCTGCAACTTGAATACCCACCCTCAGAAGTCTTTAAGTAGCAAATAATTAAGAAAAATCATGTGCTGTGTCTCAGCTTCAATGGCAAAAGTGAGACCCTGGTAACAGAAAAAGAGAGAGCAAATATGAAGACAAGATAAATGAACAACAGACATAATTGAAATATAGGCAAGGATTAACTGAAACATTCCTGGCTTCCAGAATTAAGGAAGTTACAAAGCCACAGAATAAGGAAAGGAAATTAAAGGGGGCATGTTATACTCCTGGAATGATGAGAAGCATCCGAGTGTTGAGGGAAGAAAGTCTTGTATTTTGAAGAAAATGCAAAACAGGAGAGAGCTGTGTACAGCACGGGAAAGTTGAAGACCCACAGAGCCCTCAAACATGCAGTGTAAGACTGATGATTACGAGCATGGGATGAAACTACTGGGCACTCAGGAAATGTTACCTTAGGATTTTTGTGTAACTGTTACTAATAGAGAAAAGAGGGAAAAGTTCATTTGTATGTCAGCATAGAAAATCTTAGGATTGAACGGCATTTGGTGAAATACACAGATTGACTGAGCGATCAGAATTGATCAGTCTGACACCATGTACCATATCCTTCCTCCAGAACAGCTTTTAAGCGTTTATATAGGAACACAAAATTGTTCGGTAACTACCAGAGCCAATTTCCCAATAGCTGGGATCCAATCAAAATATTTTGCAAGTATGTATAGAAGCAATAAGAGTAAAAATTAATGAAGAAAAAAATCAATCCACAGGTTCTAGTATAAAAATGACACTACTATAATAAAGAGAGGATAAAATCATTTGTATAATAATTATGTTGGAATTTCATATAAAAGTAAAAACCAAGAAGATACCAAAAGACATTTCAGGTGTAAAGATGAAAACGAAAACACTTTAGATGAAATACACATGAAGAACAGAAGGGGTTAGACCCTGAGGATGAGAAATTGGAAAAAGTAACAAAAGATATAATCCAAGTTAAAACTGAGAAAAATAGTAAATGAACTCATTAAACATATAATAGACAGAAAAAGCAAAACAAAAGTCAGATCAGTTATAAATTCACTGGAAACAAAATAATGACAAAGAATCAAATAAACAATTAGTATTTTGAAAATATGAACTGTAATTCTTCTAGGTTGATCTAAAAACTTAAATACACAAGTTGTCACTATTCTGAATAAAACAGATAAACTCTCAGATTGCTCTGATGTTAAAAGAATAGGAAGTGAGCACTGAGGCAATCAGCTGATAGATTTAAAAGCTTAGCAAAAATAGACACACTTCAAGAATCCAATAAACAAGTTTTGCTTTCAAGCAGAAATGTGTAATCTGAACATTACAAACTACTAATTCTGTTTCATTTTCAGGCACAAACATTGAGGATAAGAATATGCCATGGTATGCTGCTCACTTGTGATTCATAGAAGAAAGGCACACTATTTCTACATGAACTCTTTCAGTAAATTATGTGGATGGAATATCTTTCAACTCATTCCGTAAAAGCAGTTTAAAAGGCAAGACAATGTAAGAAGATAAAATTAAACAACAGTATAATCGTTCAAGAAAACAGATATTAAATGTATAAAATAAAACATCTAGCAAAAAACAGCCTGACTAACTTAACACCCAGGAAAGAACCTCTGCAACACAACACAATGAAAGATCCAAGCAGAATTATATTGTTTTAATCTAGTAATCCCCAGAAAATGTTCACATAGCATGGTATTCTCTTTTGGCTACATTCATGACCATTAGCTTTATTACACAAATATGATATGCTAAATAATCAATTTTCTTGCATGCATGAATAGCAAACACTTTCATAGATGAACCAAAAAGTTTAAAACACATGTATAGTGTGCCCTAGCTTGAAATGTATGTCACACAGATTCTCTTTTACAAGAAACTCGCGAGAAGTAGCAATACTGTGAGATTCAGAAATGACATAAAAATAGGATAAAGAGGTGCAGAGAAAGCAAAGAAAATTTATGGTTTAAAGCTGTCAATGATTTTGAGGCAATAAACATTGTGGAATGTGAGGAAAAGTTCAAATTCCACTGAAGTGTGTAGCTTGTTTTGCCTAATTTTTTTGTTCTGCAAAGTACAGCACTTTACCAGCCCATTTCCTTTGGGATCACATGAAATGTTGCATCAACAGAAAGGCACAGCTGTGTTACTGAAGGTAAAATTGAGCTATGCATTTTCATCCTCCTGAGGGTGGTGTCCCACAGCAGAACAGCACTCCTGTTATTATCATGCATTATCTTTCTAGGGCTGAACATAGGCTCCCACAAGCCTTCGGTAAAGGTTGAATCCCCTGTGTCCACTAGCATTAGCATTTCGGCATAAAATTCTGCACTCTTCCTTCTTGCATCTTGTCACTAGCTCAGCAGGCTCCAGGTCTATAGAAGAAGAGGTTTTTATCCTAAACAAAATAGAATCAGAAGTCTGTTTTACTCCTTATGAAAATTGCATTGCATTTCATTTTCTCCCTCACAGCTGATAAACATTACTAAAACTTAAGCTATTTCAAGCCCATGCAGTTTTACTTAATTGTAGCTACTTCTCAGTCATTCATTAATGTTTACTATCTCCATATCTAATCACAGCAGTTCTGGATTTGTTCTCACTGGTTTAACTGGCCTAGAAGTTGATGATCTCTGGGTCTCCATCCCTCTCTCCATCATCTATGCCATGGTGTTCCTGGGAAACTGCATGGTGCTCCATGTGATTCGAACTGAGCCGAGCCTGCACGAGCCCATGTTCTACTTCCTGGCTATGCTGGCCCTCACCGATCTGTCCATGGGGCTGTCCACCGTGCACACAGTGCTGGGTGTCCTGTGGAGGTTCATTCAAGAGGTCAGTCTGGATTCCTGCATCGCTCAGTCCTACTTCATCCATAGTCTGTCCTTAATGGAGTCCTCAGTCCTCCTAGCTATGTCCTTTGACCGCTACATAGCCATTTGCAACCCTCTACGCTATTCCTCCATCCTAACTAATGACAACATAGTGAAAATTGGCGTAATGATCTTATGTAGGAGTTTCTTCCTCATTCCTCCAGTCATCATCCGCCTGAAGTTTTTAAACTACTGCCGCCCTCATGTCCTCTCTCACTCCTTCTGCCTCCACCAGGACTTAATCCAAATGGCCTGCTCAGACATCCGCTTCAATAACATTTACGCTTTGGCTCTGGTGATCAGCACTCTGTTGTTGGATGCTGTGCTCATCCTAATCTCCTATGTCATGATCCTGCACACAGTTTTAGCCATTGCATCCCGGGAGGAGAGAATGAAATCCTTGCAAACTTGTGTGTCTCACATCTGTGCTGTTCTAGTTTTCTACATCCCCATCATTGGTCTGACCATGGTGCACCGCTTCGGAAAACACCTCTCCCCACTGGTTCATGTTTTCATGGGCAACATCTACATCCTTTTCCCACCCTTGATGAACCCCATCATTTATAGCATCAAGACCCAACAGATACGCAGGAGAATCCAGAGATTGTTCTATCTGAAGGGAACCTAAGAGTTGAGACTTAATGTGGAAATATTTAACAGCGAACAAGTAGAATTAAAATGGTGAGAACAGTAAGTAACTAACTATGGATTTACTCAGTTCTAGTTTAATGCTATTTTGCACATACCAAGCATTTTTCACTCTCTTTTTCAAAATTACTATATGTCCATGACTTTATCTTTATAGTGTGATAATTAATTTTCTGTTTAGTCTTATCCCTATGCAAAATGCTGAGAGTCATATTAATATATGATGCAGTTTTTCTAGTAATGCCTACACCCTATTTTTATCATTAGTGAAGGTATTCTCATATCACTCAGTGGAAAAAGTATATTTTTCTGGTCAGATTCCTTCATATAATTATGAATAAATCAACCAATACATTAGTGAAAAATGGCAACTATTTCTTTTATATACACAGTTAGTTCAACTATACAAGCACTCAGTGGAAAAACACCACAAACACTTTTGACTAAATGATAAGTAGAATAACAGTTATCAGAAATGTAATCTTGACTGTAGCTGGAAAGCTCAGCAATGTCTCCAAGCACACACTATGGGCAGTGATGAAGCTTTTCATTCAGTAGTAGCCACCAAGTTGAAATTTTGACTTTCATTATTGTTTTTCTACAAATATTGCAAATAGTAAGTACCATTAGAAAGTTGTTAGGATCATTTGAAAGTATTTATTTTTAATCCATATATATGTCTAACCTCATTCAAACACCAGGTCATGGACACAAGAATATAAAATGAATACATTGCTACTATGACTAAGTAATCTAAATATATTTCTTATTGAATCTATCAAGTCTGTGAAGCAGATTTTATTTTATATGGTACAATGGATTTTTTCCATGTCGGTGAAATGATATGCAAAATTTTAGTAGGTAATACGTAAAGGATTTTTATGTTTCTGTTTCAGTTTGTTTTGAATCACATGGCAGCTCTTCTTTTTCTACTTTTGCTATGTACCTCTTTATTAATTAATTAGTTAATTAACTAAGTAATGTTTTGAAGCAGGGTCTCACTTTGCAGTTCAGGCTAGCCTTGAATGCAGTATGTAGCTCAGGCTGAGCTTGAACTCCTGGTGATCCTCCTGGATCAGCCTCCCAATTGCTGGGATTACAGATCTGTGCCTCCATATCCAGCTGTACTGCTTTTTAATATAAAGTTTTTAAATGATTATGTGACCACCATAAAACATTTGTATGATTAAGGTACAGAATTCTACAATTAAGTCATGCATGTTTACAAAGTGTACATATTTAGACTCTGCTTACATTGTCACCTTAAAGCATTTCTCTACTGATATATCTAATTTGCTTAATATTTTAGGATGGTTTATTAAACTATGATGGTAAATGATAATTCACCCTTGTTAAATCTATATACACAATGTGGTAAACTTTGAAAATGCTGACAATCGTATAATCAGCACCAAAATCAAGATAGAGCACATATATGTCACTGTGCTGGGTGCCGTTATGAATATTTTGGGCTACGTTTTTCTACTCCCTCAAGCTCTGGCAGCCATTATAATCTAATTACCATACAAACTTGCCTGTAAGAGAAAGCAATACAAATAAAATAAGTAATATAACCTTTTATGTGTGGATTATTCAGTTACAATAATGCCTTGGACTTTTATCTAATTGCTGCTTGCATCCATAGGTAACTCTTTTACTCCACTTGCTCTTCTGATTCTCTAATGCCATATAATCACCAGCCCATTTACCTTCATCTTACATTTTTGTTTTATTCTGAATAAATGTACTAGTAACATATACACAATGTGAGTATAAGATTCCAAAAGAGAGAATTTATTTCTGTTTTAGACTTTTATAATAGCAAATGTATTTAATTGTACATTTTAATGGGTATTTCTTTGACATTAACATACTTGCATATACTGACTTTAACTATGACCAACCTTCCTTGTACACTCTCTTGCTTATATGTTTAATATTAGAACTAGAATAGCTGGGGTTGGGGATATACCTCAGTGGCGTAAGCGCCTGCCTGGCAAGCATGAGATCGTGAGTTCGAATCCTGGTACCAAAAAACGCCCCCCCCCAAAAAAAAAAGTTCAGGATACAGAACTAGAAGAGCTATCAAATACTAATTCTTATGGTTAAATTATAGCTCATATTAATCAAATGCTTACCATATGATTTGAATCTTGAAAGCACCAGGAATAATTTTTTTTTCTAATTTCTTGATAACCTTGGTGAAGTTCTCTAATTACATTGATCTTTTCTAAGAACTATTTCCTACTCAGATTTTTGTAAATTTCACAGTTATATGTTTAACAAAAGCACACTGCGGGTCCACATTTAGAACAAAACTAGTCAGTGTTAATTAAACATTTAAAAATAGTATATAAAATTTGTTTTCTTCATTTCCAGCTTTTAAAATTAAATATAGAATACTTTTACCAAACATTTCTATTGAATCAATTGTCCTATTGTCAGCATAGGATTATGAATAACATAAGTCTTTATATATTGAACTACATATTTTAACTATGCTTCACAAGAAACTATTTTAGAAATACAAGTCTAATCCTAAATATATCTTCCCTGCTTGTAGATCAACTTTACTTATTTTTTAAAATTCAAATTGTCCAAGAACTTAACTGTTTTGTAATATAAAATTTAGGGTGAAATTTAAACAATTGGTATTGCACAATTTATTTTCCCTGAGATTAAATAAAAATCAAGGATGAATCCATTATTTCAACAGCTTCAGTGATTCTGTCACGGAACAGCCTATCAATATGGGATACTATGCAGATCAAATTTAACACTGTTCTAATGTAGAATTTACATGTTTCACATAATGGAGCAGGTAAAGAAAGATACTAAAATATATGTAGTTATTGAATGTTTTGACAAAATAAATGAAGTGGACAGAACATGAAAATAAAGAGATATACAGGTGGTTAGAGAAGTTCTGTCCTTCAAAGATGTATCATTTCCAAGGGATTTACTACTGGATATGAACTTCATCTGAAGATCGTGGTAGGTACACTTTAATCAGTTCTTTTATTTGGACATCTGGTTATGCTGAGTACACTGAGAGAAAGTTGAAGAATATTTTGAAGACTAAAAATTTTATAACCATATATATGTTTTAATTGTTCAACCATGATGTTAAACTGATAATAAATAGTTTTGAGCAGGTATAATACATTCTTTGGAAACTCTTTCCTTAATAAAATGTCACAAAATATCTTCTTTCTAAGGGAAATAAAACTCCAAATAGAGTTAAAATATATTTAGATATTTGAAGGAAGTGATACCATATGTTTTACAACTCTGATGAAAATAGATGCAAAAGTCTTCAACAAAATAACTGCAAAATAAAACATCATCACATTCAAAGTCACCATAGACTTGTTCCTAGTGGGTTTCATCCCAGAGATGCATTGTACGTCAAAGTATGCTAATCAGTATAAACACCACATAAATGAAATCAAGGAAAAATAAACACACGATATTTCTAACATATTAAGATAAATCCTTCGATAAAATTGAATGTCACTTCATGATAAAAATTCTGGGTTATCTAAACATTGAAGGATTTTACTGTAACATAATAAATGTATGTAACAAGTCCATATCCCATATAATACTGAATAAAGAAAAACTGAAAATATTTCATCTAAAATAAAGAATGAGCTACCACCGCTATGATTCAATATACCAAAATCTTGGAGCAATTGAGTCAAAAAAAAAAAAAAAGATATACAAGTAGAGAAGCATGAAGTTAAATCATTTCTGGTTCACAGAAAAAAATGATTCTATATCTAGAAAACTGTAAGAGTCTTCCCAAATTCTCTTTGATTAATAAATTCAGCACAGTAGCAAGATATAAAATGAATACTATTGTGAGTAGCATTCCTGTGCATAAATAATGAACTAAGAAAAAATTCATAAAAACATACTATTCACAATAGCCTCAAAAATAAAAAATAAAAAAAACAAGAAACCTACCAAAGGAAGAGAAATTCTGTGCAAAAAAATATCTGAAACATAGAATAAACAAAGAGAACACAATAGAACATGAAAATAATCACCCTTGTTCATTGATTTGGAAAATAATGATATTACAATGACTGCATGACCAAAGAGATTTGCACATTCTACTGAATCCCTACCAAAATACCAAGGACACTCATCACAGTACGAGGGAAAGAAAATCCTAAAATTTATACAGTAGCAGAAAAGACCCCCAATCCTCAAAGCAATCCTGAGAGCAATGAACAGTGCTGGAAACATCACCATACCTGATAGCAAAAATACACTCTACAGTCATTCTAGCACAAACACGTTACTGACATAAAATATAGGCATGTGACCCAAAGGAAAAGTAAACAAGATGCAAGAATAAACCTTAATATCCACAACCCTCTGATGCTTGACAAAGGAACCAAGCTTCTTGGATATAAGACAGCACCTTTATTTTATTTTATTTTTTTTATTTTTTTTATTTTTTTGGTTTTTCTCCGGTACCAGGAACTGAACTCACGACCTTGCGCTTGCCAGGCAGGCGCTTTTGCCGCTGAGCTAAATCCCCAG